GGACACTGGCTCGAATTTCTGCATTGAATGAATGTAATTGTGTGCACAAATCAGGTATTTGGGGATGTAAGGAGACAATTAGATGTCTGATAGGTCATGTGATTAGTTCCCCATTTTTTGCATGGTGTTTGGCTTCCTGTCCCTTCACATGGAAGATCTTGACAGGACAGTGTTCTCAGTGACAGATGCAGTTAGTAGCTTTCATTTTCCTAGAGGGGTCATTGAAGCCCCAGCCTATACATGATCTAGGGGGGATACAGAGTTAAGCATGCTCATTTCCTTTAGCATTCAGTTGAGCTTTTGGATACATTATTTGGAAGGGGGGTTCTAGTTAAACCTCTGTCTCTCCCAAGTGCCAGAGTTGCTGAAACAAGATGCCTCATAAAGATCAGTAACTAAAATAATCATTGTCAAGAAATCTAAACTTACTTGTCCATGTGGGCACTGCACAATGCATGCAACTGTGACTACGAACCTGCAAAACACATTGGTGTTATCAGAGTCCCACCGCAGTAATGACACATACAGTGCCACTGGGTACAGCCCTGCTCTGTCACAGGAACACCAACCAACATCTAGCTACTGGGTGTGTACAGGACACAGCCCAACAACCACGCAGTGGTCTCTTGAAGGCTCTGGGGCTCTGCACACCCACAGCTCTCCAGCAGGCTGCAGGATCCAGGCCTGAGACATCAGCTGGACACATCTTGAACTTTCAGTTAAATTATTAATTTGGTTATCAAATAGCTTCTTCATTTCCAAAACTGTACAGGACTCAGGGTAGACACCATCTACCTGGCCTTAGCTTGCTCTAATGTGTCTACACAACAGCTGCCCCATCAAAGTGAGCAGCATTGCTCCCAAAGCAGCGAGTAGAGGGGGGTGCAGCTTATGAATGCAACACTCCTGAATGTTACAGATGAAGATAACGCTCCAGGGAAGTAGAGACTGAAATTCTCTCCCTGTCAACCTCATGGGGACAGCATGGACAAGCCCTTCCCTGTGTTGCCTTGCCAATATGCCTCAGCCCTGCTGGAAGGGGCCACCTCTAGGGATAGAAGGGAGGACTTCTGCCTCCCAGGACTGAACCCTGTCAGCTTTCCAGAGTCCCCTGGCACCTCACACTTCACTCCAGAACACATGCCCGACTAAGTGGGTTGGGGTACAATTGCACTGCCATCACTGCTGGGACTGCAGCTCCTGGAGAAAATCAGAGCTAATGTTAAGCTGGCCAGAGGGCAGTGCTGCTAGCAGCATAGCTGCACCAGTGTGGAGCACCAGTGTGGAGCACAGCACAGGTTACAAGCCCTCCCCAGGAGTCTGGGAAAATACCCGATCATCTAGCCCATGCTGGGCTCTATGCTGCCACAACAGCTGTGCCAGCAGGACTGTAGTCAGGCAGTGCAAGGTGAGCTGGGGTCTGCCTGCATGAGTTTCAGTGACACCCATGCAGACATGTCCCTGGGTGGAGAAGGCTGTGAGTAGCCTTAGGGGCTTGGTTTTTACATGGGTCCTAGCATTCTGGCCTGATCTAGTAAAGTATGTGAGCACCTGAGAAGGAATCTCACTAAAACCAGTGCTCTGTGTAGTGCAGTGTAGTGTAATGCAGTGCGGTCTGAAGCCTAGATTCAGCAAAAAGATTTACTGCAGGGGAGCACCCCACTTACCAAATGAAAGTATAGGAGAATCCCAGCGCCGACCCTACGACCTTGAAATCTGTCGAGAGGCAGGCGAAGAGAGGGAAATAGGAGAGACCCACTTCAATGCCCCCCACCAGGAGCACGATGGCTGGTAAGAAAGCAAAAGGTGCCATATGGTGACCCTTGGTGTAAAAATCCTCATTTAGCGGTGACCTGTCCTGTGTCCACACCTGCACAGGTCAGCCCTCCTTTCACTAGCTAGTGACATTTAGGGGGAGCTGGATGGCTCTCACTGATGTTACTGTGCTAACCCTGAAGTTCAGCCTAACCAGAATGAAGCCCACAATCTCGGCTACTGGCTGAAGGAGCTACACAGACAGGGCCCACGGCAGTTGTTCACCTCTAAGGAACTCAAAGCTAAGTGACCATCTGACAGAGAGCAGGAAGATCCTCAGTCTGACAGGAAGGGGCAGAACCACAGGAAATCCTCAGAAGAGGAAAAAAGCCAGTGGCTATTGCCCTGCTGAGCCTTTGCAGCTTCCTTCATCGTTCCGCACACACACACCTTTACATCACCATGTTGTCCTCTCCTTGCTCACTAAGTGACACCTAGCTTAAGCTGGTGTGATTGCCATGTTTTCAGACACTCACAAAGCGCACGTGGGTTGGAAGAGGAGTCTATGGGTAAGGCACAAGGCAGTCCATGCTGCACTAACCCACAATCAAAGCAGGCCTGAGTCTCCTTCCTCCTCCCCCTTGTGCAGTGACATGCACTAGCATGCAGTACAGCTTGCCCACTGGAAGTCCTATATAACAGACAATAAGATGCAACCTGCCCATGCTAGTGCTGAGGAATCTGAGCAGACACACATTAGCTAGTACAGTTTGCAAACACCTCTTTTGGCCTTGTGTTAAATGGGCTCCATTCATAGCCTCCCCTCCTGTAAGCTACTTTCCAAATCCCCTGCCTTCCCCATCAGTATGTGAGCAGAATGTGTGCTACACACTCAGTGCTGACTGGTCCAGGTCTACCACTTGGACATAAGACTTTGACACTCCTCAGGCTGCTCATTTGCAAGCAACTGAAACCAATGCAGATGGAGATGAGAACAATCTTTTCTGGGCAAGTGACTGCAAGCATCTTAACCTTTAATATAAGACACACCCAGTCCTGGTAGAGGGGATAGTGTTGGGGATGGGGCTTGCAAGGAAAGGCCGCAGATGGCCAGCCTACCAGCGGTTCCTCTTCAGACCCAGGGTTAACTGGTTTCTTGCGCTTGACTGAGTCCTCAGCCCCAGCAGAAGTACAGCGTGAAGCCGTCAGACCTTGCACTAGCACCCAGGCCTCCCAACAAATGGAAATCGAGACTGAAGGGCTAGAGAGTGCTGGCCTTTGCAAATATGATCTGCATCCTACCTTGGGCCCATTTGGGCATGCGCCATGACAGGTAACCCTCCGAGAACAGGAACATAACCTTATTGGCAGTAGCTCCGAATGCAAAACCAAATGACCATCGGTTGGTGAACGTACCAACAAAATCCAACGGGCTGTGAAAAAAGATCAGTTCTAGCTGATGGATCTGAGGCTGCCAATCTGCCCTGCTCTCAGCCAAGCGTTATCACAGTTCTGATGTCCCTCCTCTTGACTGTCTGTCTAGGTGGTAGAGGCCAATTCAGCCTGAAGCTATGGTTCTGATGCAGATAAGGCCTTCCCTAGTGTAAATAATGTAGGAGGCTAGGCCTGATTGCCATAACTACCCCTTCCAATCTGGATGTCTAGGGATCTGATTCCAGAGGCATTGCTGCATGGCTTTATCGCTGTCAAGGAGTGTAGTAACCTCTAGCAGTCCTTACATCTCCTTAATGAAACTCCTGTCATCACCACTGCAGTGACTGCAGGGGCACTAGGGTAAATTAAGTCTTGGAGAATGAAGGGTCAGGCCCACAATATTAATTCTATAGCAGATGGATTCATGCAAAATCCAAGGTTATTGATTAGAGGACCCTCCCTGTTCCTGAGAAAAGCCAGCCAAGGGAGAGCGAATGGGAAGATACCATGTTCCTGGGGGAGAAGCGAAGGGGAGCACAGAGTGGCCATCTCTCTGGGAAGGGCTGGGATCAGATGCGGGTTAGGCTCAGACTCACATCACAATTCCGAAGCGCCCATTGAGGAGATGCAAATTCTCATCTATTGGCCTCCTGTTCACTCTTCTTTCCAGGAAGGAAAGCACCAAAATGATGGCACACTAGAAAGAGGAAAGTACAGCTGTGAGAGGGGAAGGCTGAGAGCCACTTACAATGAGAGAGAACACAAAGTCAGAGGGATTGGGAAAGGTGCCTCTGGGGCCCCGGCAGCCCAGAATAGAGGCCATGTGCTAAAGAATTTGCCTGCCTTGCTGGCTTTCACATAACGTCCAAAGGGTTCCCCAGGTCACTTCCCTTTGCTGCTCCTGCCACCTGAGAGCATGATCTTCCTTCCCCAGTCTGACTTTCCCCTCACATAGATCAGTAGAAATCTCCCCAGCTCCCACTCCTGCGATGACCTCTCTGAGCTGGCCACAACAGGACAAGTGCCCGCTCTAACCCTCTGCATGGCAGATGGTTGCCACACAGGGAACCAAATTTAACATAAGCCTAAAGGGGCATGATTTAAATCTTCTCCCTGCCGCTTCCCTTTGTCCACCTAAATGGCACCTTTGTAGCCAATTAAGTGACACTTTTGGCACTTACATAAAGGGAGTAATTCTGTTTTCCCTGCATTGTGAATGCACAACCATGTCCATGAGAGTGTCTGGGCACAGCAGGTTGCACGCTGGTTTGGTGTATGCCAGTGCCCATTCTAGATGTCTATCTGCTTCATAGTCACAAATCCATAGCTGTCCAGAAACCCACAGATAACAAGTGCTGGGTGCCACAGGAGAACCCTCCCTTGTTGTAGCCTCAAGTGCTGAGGGGCTGGACATTCAGCTAGAAAGCAGTCACCCCAACTTCTAGGCTGTCTTGCCTAGAGAGGGTTTGAATTTGTATCTCTGTAACTTCCTATTACAGGACTTTAAGCACCATGCCACAGATTAGGCCTGGCCCACGCCTTTCTCTGGAGTTCCTTTTGGAAGCAATGAGATAGCTGATGTCCTGGATAGGAAGAAACTTTCAGTTTTAGCCTAGATCCTTGTCCCCAATGGGGATGAAAATACACTACTGTGCTACTCCACCCATTCTGTCCAATGATTATTAAATGCAATGCGAGCTGACCCAGCTTCAAAAGGAGCACTGGAGGGGGGGCTCTGAGTAATGGCTGACCTATGGCATGGCAGTCAGAGTACTGTGCTAGGAAGTCAAAGTGCAATAGGTTCAGGCTTCTTTGGGGTGAGGGAGCCCAGAATTCAAGTACCTACGAGCAGGAGAAAGGGTATAGTTAAAAGCCATGTCCTCCAGGAGCACAGGAGATATCACATAGGCTTGGAGGCTCAGGGCTTCCAGGCACCCTCCCTCATAGCCAGGATGTCCTGAGTCAGGCTTGCAGCCCTAAAGAAACCCAGACTCCTGAGCCAGTCCTTGGCAGAATTCCCCTGAGCAATAGACCACTGGTTTGTTCCATTGCTACTCTTACAACACTGAAAATGAGGACATTATTGGCATCATTGACCCACTTCAGGGTCCTGGAAACCATATTTCACTCTGGAAGCGTGGTTTCATTGTTTGTCCTTCCCAGTGTGTTCCAGCCCAAACTGGAACAAAAACATATCTTGCATCTCTGTAAAAGCACTAACATGTCTCGGAAAATGAAAGCCCAGCTGTAATTAGGATGCTTTCATTCCCCCATATACCACATCCCTTCAAATGCAAGATCCATTTTTTAAATGGGCTGTATGTTAAACTTGATTAAAAACAGAAACAAAAAGGCTCTTATATGCACCATCAATGCTTGTAGATATGTTGTGGTTTGACGTTTTACTTTTTTCTTAAACTGAAAGTTAACAAATTTGGGTTTATCTTAAATTTGAGGAGCTCATATTCAAAGGAAGGCTGTCATTTTTTTCCTGTAGCAAAACCCCCGGTTTTTCTTTTTTTTTCTTTTAAAATGCATTCCCTCCCCTTCCCCAACCGTTTCTGACTTTTTCTTTGCCTCTCTATTCCCTATAGATAAGTATAAGTGAATTAAGACATAGGATAAGCTTCAGCATTTAATTTGGTAGCGAGTTCTATTTGTTTTGTCTTTTTTCCTTCTTTATATTGTATAATTATTATGTTTATGTTGATTTTTACTGTTCTATATTACTGTTTTACTAATACTATATGATTTATGCCTACGTATGTAAGTTAGCAAAAGTCATGTCAAGTTTCCATTTTGTTTGTCAAGTCTCCGTCCTGTCCCCAGGTCTTGTTGCATAACCCATGACTCACACCTACCCCTCCTATGTAACTTGGTTCCTGAAAGAATGGGGATGAATGAGGGTGCTTGAGAGACAATGGCAGTAGGTCTCAAAACAGCTCCCTCTGAATGACTGAATCATCAACACCAATACCTGGACCAACGACCCAGCCCTTGGAACCACCCTCAGCATTCAAGAAACAAAAGATGAGGCAACCCACCATTGTGCCAGGCTGCGCATGCTCAGTAAGAACACCTGAAGCCCTCTGGAACAGGACTGACATTGCCTGGACAGGCCCTCCCCATAGGAGATCAGAGGTAGTCTACCCCACAAAAGAGGTAGTGAAGACTGACTCCTTGGGACGCCCTCTCCATCAGGACCAGCACCATGCCACACCACCTATCCACCCAGAGGCCCTGCCGACGACCCCCCTCTGGACAACACCTACTGGACAAGGACCCCTTTCCAGCCTGGATAGGTAGCTATCACCCCCTACCCCCTCTTCAACCAAGGACTTGGACTCTGCTTCTCTTCCCCACCTGGACACCAACCCTTCCACTGAGTCTCTTTCTCCTGCTGCCATTGTGAGTGCTTGTGTGTGTGTGTGTGCGCATGTGTGTGTGTGTGTGTGTGTGTGTGTGAACCAATAACTTAATGAGGCTGTGTAGTGTGTTGTCTGTTTAATAAACCTGTAATTTTGAAACCCCGAGTTGGGTTTTTGTCTGTTTCCTGACTGTTTCCTCCTTGCCACCTCTTATCTGCCCGCCCCCAGTCTCTAAGCTGTCAGCCTGTCAAAAACCTGGGAGCTAGAAGCCCCAAGCTCCCAGGTTTCTGCCTTTCTCTCTCTCCTGGCTATCTCCTCCTTGCCACCACTTATCTGCCCCCCATCCCAATATCTCATCTGTCTTTCTCATTTTCCAGCCCCAGTCTATCTTAAGTAACCCCAAGACTCAGTTCCTCAGCCAGCTTCTCTCTAGTCCACTGGTTCTAATCCTGGTTCTGGCAACTTTCACTCTCTACACTTTAACTCTCTCTCTCACCTGAACCTTCCCCCAAGTATCTCAGGTACCCAAACCACACACATACATATTGTGCCATCCAAGTTAGGAACTTACCTGTGTGTATGTGTAGGTGGGTTGTATGTGTGTGAACTGGTGAGTGTGTGTGTGTATATATATACGAATTAGTGTGTGTGCATGATATATGAATTAGTGATCTGTGTCTAACTTTTGGGGTGTATAGTGTATGTGCTTCAATTGGTGATAGGTATGCATGTGCCTAGGCTGGTTTGGATGTGTATGTGCCTGAGCTGGTAGTGTGTGTGTATATGCACCTAATTGATTTGTGTGTTTGTATACGTGCAATTGTCACACCCTCCTGTCTAACAGCGCAATATTGAGATCCTGAAAGTTGGCCTGATCCTACAGGGCAACATTCCCAGTTAAAATTATGCAAAAATATTGCACTTTCCTCCATGTGTTTTGCACTGTATTTATGTCAGACACCACTGTAGTCTGCTACAGAATTGAGAGCTATGATTGCAAAAAGCAATCAATCCATTGTTGCACAATATACAGAAGTGCGTGGTGCATGGCAGGTTCAGGTTGCTAGTGACTTTGTTTACTTACTGATGGAATAAGGGAATAATGTAGAAATAGCTCCATGTCTATCGAACTCTCACAAGTAACATTTTTCTGCCAGCTCCTGAAATGCAACAGGAGGTAGTTAATGGATAACAAACAAGCAGCCCCACCATTTACCATACTTGTAATATACACATACAAAACCTTCTCATAAAGGAGATTAGCACATCCTTTTTTTGCGGAGACTGTAAAAACTAACTTGATGCTGACATGTAAGGAAGTCCAAGCCCTTTGGTTTGTTCCTACAGTTTGAAGACATCCTTATAGTTTGGAGCTAGTCAGCTGAGAGAGGGGAGGGAATTCAAAGTATTTCATTCTTATATGACACAAACAAAACACCAAACTGGAGATGAATTTCTGGAACTTCACAACGTTGTCAAAACTACCTTTTTCACCAAAAAAAGAATCTATACACAATTTTTTGCTTAGCTCTGTTCAGTAACCCATTCAGATTTTCAGTACTCAGAACTGGCAAAAAAAAAATGGAGTAGGTCAGCTAAGGATGGGACCACAATCATAGTTAAATCCTGTCCTGCTAGGACTTCACAGCAGAGTATGGCAAGTGCTAGGGTGGTGGTCAGTGTGTCGGTGGTTTTTAGCTTGCTAGCACCTTCCAGGCTAAAGGACCACCTGAAAGTGCCTCACAAATTCCATATCTGGTTTGTACTGGTTATGAAATTCAGCCACCTCTAGGCATGGCTGTTGAGAGCAGCACCAAAACATGTGAAGCATGCCACACAAAAATGTGCCAGTTCTAACCTTGCCACTCCAGGGTAACCCAGAGGGACTCTAATGAAGTCCATAGAAAAGTAAATAGTGTAATAGGTTTCCAGGCAATACCCAGGGGTGGATGGGATCTTCAGGGTTGCCATCTTTACAGCACAAGTCTGAACTGGGGAAGGCTATACTCCCACATTATGGAATTTGAATTACTTGATTTAAATCTGGGGCAGGAGGAAGCGCTGATCCTCTGAGGTAGCATTGTCTACCCTGTACAGGATACAGGAACGTAAGGAATGCACATCTTTATAAGAGATCAGCCTGCACTTGTTAAACAGCAGCTATGTGCAAACAAAAGCAAGGCAAAGGTCATTCTGGGGAAATTATATTGACTGTACTGAAATGGAGCTGGATCTCTGTGTCTGACAATGATTGGCCTTTGCCTCAACTCTTCCCTTCTGCCTTGTCTCTTACCTGACTAATTGTATAGTCACAGGCAGAAAGGGTAAGACAGCCATACTACTTGGGTACTTCTCCCTGTTGAACTAGCTCAGGGGGTGGGCAATTATTTGAGCTGGAGGACCACTTAAAGAGTTTTGGTGAGCTGTTGCAGGTGGTAGGGAGGAGAGAGGGGGAGCAATTTATCCGATCTGGCCCAGGCCCACCCATCCACCCTTCACCCACCACCAGCCGTACCAGATGGAGAGGGTGAGCACGTGGGGTCTCCATGGATGGGAGGGCAGGACGGGGCCATGTGCAAGAAGCGACACCTGGGAGCAGGATGAGAGAGTGGGGCTGGGATCACAGGGCGGTGACAGTGTGAAGCTGAGGCCTGGGGCAGAGCTGCAATCAGCTCCCCACATGTCTGTATGATGGGTGCCAGTTCTGTGGGCAGGGACATGCAGGGAGCAGATTACAGCTCTGCCCCAGGCCCTGGCCCCACACTGTCACCGTCCTGTGATCTCAGTTCTGGCCCCAGCCCAGCCACACGTCCCGCTTCCAGACACCACTCCCCACCATGCCATCTGCCCAGCTGAGTGCACCCTACCCACAGGGGTCCTGGGCCAGTTTCTCGCCTGCCTGCCTGCCTGCCCAACTCCTTCCTGTGTCCCTTCTAGAGCTGCATTTAACCACTTCTAGAGCCCTGACCATCCTTCAAGCCTTGAGGCTAAAACTTACCCAGCTTCTGCAGAAAGCATGCTGGCTGTGCAGCAGAGCAATCTCTCAGGAGCTAAGTCACCGTGCTGCCCAAGCAATAACACATTGGTAGTGTGATTCACTGCTTGTCACTCTTCCTGGCTGCTGTGCTACAATCCTATCTCAGCCTGCACACATGACACTATCAATATCCTGCTATTCTCTACATTCATTCCTCTCGGCACAGCATTAAAGCAAACTTCCTGTCAAACATTGACTCAACGTAGCTCTTAGGAAAACCAAGTGGCCTCTTCCTTGCTTATTGGCGAATCGCTGGTTTCTCTTGCTTTCGGAGCAATGGAACTCATAATAAAAGGCCTAACGGCATTGCTTAAAATATAAGATCAATCAGAGAATACAGATCTAAAAACGCACACACAAACAAAAATGAAATAAAAAAGAGACATTCTACAGTCCTGTCTGTCTTTCCTGCTCTCTAACTACTTCCACATGAGCGCTTTCGTCTGTCTCAGCTTCCTTCAAATCACTCATGACCTTTCTAGTCTCACTGCTGCAGTCCTTTGCCATAATTCATAAGACAACTTTCTCCTCGAAATGAAGGAAAGTTCCCTTTGAATGCGTTTAGTCCTTTTGATTCAAGTCCCCAGTCTGGCAAAACAAGGCTAAATCATCCCTGAAGATACAACAGAAGGTCCTTGAAACTTGCAAATTTTCTTTCCAGTACTGGCTGGAGTGGTGCTACATTCCTCCTGCTTGTTCTCTCTGCAAAAAACTGACAAACCAATATACAACTTCCCCTCACAGACTATGGTCATGTGCAGAGTACAGGAAAATATTACATAATAGAGACACTTGTAGCACAAAGAACGGACCCCTGTGTTAGCTGACTTCAGTGGAGGCAGTGAGGATCCAGTTAATTCCTTTTGCAGGTCATTGTGAGGTGCTAATTCTCTTTCACAAAATCATTGAAAAATAGAGCTGAAAGGGACCTCATGAGACAGTCTTGTCCAAATCCCTGGTCAAAGCAGGATCATCCCATACTAAACCATCTCAATCAAGTGTCTGTCTCCTCTACTCTTGAAATTTTCCAAGGCTGGAGATTCCACAGCCTTTCTGGGTGGTCTGTGCCAATATTTAACCAACCTCATGGCGAGAAAAATCTTAATAACAAATCTAAACTTCCCAGGCTGCTATTTGAGATCCTTGTTCCTAGCCCTGTTCCCTATAGCCATAGAGAATAGTTTATTACCATCCTACTTGGAATCATCCTTCAAATATAAAACATCAAGAAAAGGAAGAGACGGACCATCAGTGTGAGATAGTCCCTGGGCACGTCTACATGTGGACCTACAGTGCCTTCATTTAGTGCTTCCTAAAGGAAGTACTAGAGCAGGAGCAGGCAATAATTTTGGGTGGAGGGCCACTTAACCAATTTTGGTGAGCTGTCAAGGGTCACAAAAGTAGCCCCGCCCCTTGATGGGTGCCCCGCCCCTTGGTCACCATCATGGGACCAGAAGTCCTGCCCCTAACCCCTGACCTTTGCCGCTGGAAGTCCCTCCCCTTGCCTCGAAAGTACTCCTTTTGAGAGAGGGGGGTTGCCATCTTGAAACCGGAAAAAAACCCTCATCATATACTAAAAAAATCAAACATCTACTATACCTTATTTTAATTTTATTTTAAAAATATTTTTGATCTGATTTACGTGTTTGCATAGTGTATCTAGAGGCAACTGCATAATAGCTCAAAATGCAGTCTTACTCGTGCTGGGTTTCTGCTTGTAGTCGTGTTGGTCTAAGGTCATAGGCAGGCAGAGTTTTGCACTTGCTAGACCACAGCTGCTTAAAAGGACAGTGAGAAGCTTAGTGGAACGATTCCAAACATTTCACCCTTTGAGCAAAGTGACCTTTTACAATATTTCCTTGCAGAAAGGCTGCAGCCTCTACTGTATTACAAAGTTGATAAGCAGAGACATGCAAAATGCCCCAGGGGGAGTGTCCCAAACACACAGTGAGATCAACACTTACTTTGGACTATAGGTGCCTCCCCCACAACCCAGGCTTAGCAGAATATGAATCTTTTGGGTCCATTGCTTATAGTTACCAGAACGCCTGACAAAGATGCTTCTTACAGCAGTCATTCTGGAGTATGACTCTGAGAACTATGACTCTGAGATCCCTTTCTGCTACCATGCTGTTGAGAGGGTCCTCCCCAAAGCTGTAAGTGTGCTGGTGATTCCTTCTCCCTAGGTGCAGCACTTTGCATTTGTCCTTGCTGAATTGCATCCTATTCTGTTCTGCCCACTTCTCCAACCTGTCCAGATCTACCTGGATTTGTTCCCTGCCCACTAGAGTGTTTACTTTACCCCGTAATTTGGTGTCATCTGTGAATTTGGACAGAGTGCTCTCCATGCCCTCATTCAAGTCACTGATGAAGGCATTGAACAGCACTGGTCCAAGGACCGAAACTTGGAGAACTTCACTGCCCACATCTTTCCAGGTCGATGCTGACCCATCTACCACTACTCTCTGGGTGTGTCCCATTAGCCAATTTGCCACTCACCTGACCATGTAATCATCTACATCACAGCCTCTCAATTTATTTATGAGACTAGGATGAGATACCATATTGAAGGCTTTCTTAAAATCCAGGTAGATGACATCTACCTCATCCCCTGCATCTAAGCATTTTGTGACCTGGTCATAAAAAGAAACAAGGTTAGTCAGGCAGAATCTACCTGCTATGAACGTGTGCTGATTG